TCTTTTAGGCATGTTTCCAACCACCCTCTGGAAGTGCAAATTTTTGGTATTTTACCTCTATAGAGAGCACTAGAAACTCATCTCCTATGACCATCATCAACACCTACATAATCCTGGAATCTTGGAACTCACTCATGTCCAGAGAATGCATTCAGGAGATTCAATCTCTATTTCTTTTAAAATATATTTATCTATGCTAGCATGGACTTTTGAGGGACTAAGTTGTCCGAAGTTCACGGACAGCAAGCCTTCCTTTGGACAATCAGATTGCAAATGCTGAATCTGGAAATCTCTGGATTTATGTTCAAAGTTCACCATTTGGTGGGAACTAGTCTTCTCTCAGAGCTGAATTTGGAGGCCAGACTGCTGTAACTCCTCCTGAGGTCATAAAGGGAAACTGTTTTGAAGGATTGGTCTTGCAGCATTATTAGTATCTACATACAGCTCTTAGAAATATGAGGCTTTTCTGAAAACATTCTCCCAGATTTGTGCTCTCTTAGAGTAAAATCCATGCATGTGCAGAGAGCTGCCCACCATTAGCTCCCTTATTTGGGGATATCATTGCAACTTTAGTGATATTCATCCTGCTTAGGGTGTTTTTCATAAAGATTAAAATACTTGCATTGCCTGCTCCAGTGCTAAGACCCCTTCTACTAGAATACTGGAGGAATAACCCATAACTCCTAACAAAACTTTTATTTCTCCTTATATTATACAATGAGAAGTTCTTTATTCTAAACCAATCTCACATTACCAGAATGCAAACAGCTAATGTTGGTCAAGTGAAACAGGCCTAGTGCTGCTCCATTGTTACCACATTGAGACTGGAATAATATAATTTTGACTTTTGCTATGCAGGAGAAAGTTCTGTAACACACAGAACACCCCTCTATTGTCCAGTGTTTCCTGTGCAGAAGTTACATAAGAACAAACCTGCACGACATGAAATGAAAGACCATGGTTTCCATGAAGAACCAGACAGATCTACACAAAGCACTCTGCACTTGTACAGAAGCAGAAAATGCAATCCCCTCCTGAGATATGACAGGAACAGGATGCAAGCACTTATAAGAAGGCAGGGTATGCACAGGAGACACAGGACACACATAATGTCTGAAAGCCAATCCTTCCCCACTGACATAGAGACAGCACGTAGCACACACACACACCCTGCCTAGCACTTCCCCAAAGCACCAAACTTCTGACAGATTATGCAGCACAGTGTTCAAACACAGCATTTCCAGACTCCCATAAACTGCAAAAGTAGCAGCTGCACTGAAGAGAGCTCACCTGTTAAAGCTGCAAAACATATAGAGACAGGTTTGTAAATCCTGCAACATTAGAGTTACAAAGTCCTTGAAATCATCCTGGACAAAATCTGCAGACTCAGTGGGATAATATGTCCAGGAACACCTTTAAAGTTAGCTATATTAATAAGGAAGAAAGCCTAAAAGGTGCAGTTGAGTTTTGATTATTCATGTGGGGCTCATTAGTGGGTCAGGATGGATGAAGAAACAGCCAGGTAAAAGCACAACTGATACAGCATGAAAAAAATCACCAGCCAGAGTGCTGCTGGTACTGATGACTTCAGCTCTGCAACATGCATATCTCAGTACTGCTTTCCAGTCTGGGGCAGAGAGGGAAGTTGGAGCATGGCTAATTCACTGCCTGAATTCTTCAGCCAGCGATAATCAATAGCTGTCTGCATAAGTTTTGTCAGAAAGGATATGAGCAGATGGAAAGCATAAAATTACTGAAGCAGTATGGATAAATGAGTGAGCTTTCTGTAAAAACATACCAATTTATATTCCCAACATAAATATATATGTTTAAGTACTTGTGGAGTAAAAAAGCTTTAAAAACTTGCTTCTATAGACAAGTGGATGAAGAATGCATATTGATCATATACAAGAAAAAAAAGAATGCAATGACTTCATCAGACCATTGGGTGATTTTGGCTGGCTGAGGAACAGAGCCTTTTTTTTTTCCTTTCCCTGCAGTTGTTTTCCATGCAGTCTTCAGCCACCCTGCAAAGGAATTAACATGACACCACGCTGTGAAACAAGGAAGTGCTATGCATGCATTGCCTATCAGAGCATTCACCGAATTCCCAAGAAATGAACAGCACATCTACCTAGTTGAATTTCATGTAATTTGGGGAATTTCACTCTTCTCTATACCTCTCAAGACTGTTACAGAGGATTGCATCTTCATTTTTCAAGCCTTTAGCCTGCAACAAGATGTGCTGGCAAGGATTTTAGATGCATAGACTTCTCTGTTGCAGTACTCAGATGTTAGGTTCCAAATGCAAACATCCCATTGCAAGCTCATATAGTTTAAACTGGAGAAAATACTTCAGGATCATTTTCCTCTCTTCCTTTTGCCTCAAGGTTATTGCAAAAGCACATGACAGTATACACTTTGGCTTTTAAACTTTTATGGGAAAAGACAGATATGATTATGCACTTATGTTCAAAATTAGCTTTTACAAGATTATTTTATTTAAACATTAGTAATTTTTGAGTGACAACAACACTTCTGATAAATTGTTGAGTAGGAATGTATCTACATTTTAGGGCATATGAATATCTGAATTTACAATAATATTTTAAAGCATAATAGCATGCAGTTCTGTAATTAACTGTGAGGTCTTCAGGGTATTTTAAGTGGTGCATGCATTTTGCAAAACTCTTGGTTTTTTATGTTTACAATAATTTTATATGGAGAAAATGGTAAAAAACTCCAAGTTCAAATGCATGCACAAAGTTACTATTCACATTTAATCAAGAAAAGCTAAGCCTAATTCCTCCAAGGCACTCTCACAAACCTGCAGGTTGTGCAGGGTCTCAGGACTGCTTCTCTGTGTGTGTTACCAGGAGCCCTGCACATCATCTACGCAAAAAGTTTCTTTGCTGCTGTCATAGTGTCAGCACCCTGAAACTGGAAGAGAACAAACTCAGGCACCTTCATTACTGATATAAAAGAGTTAAGTAACACATAGACCAGTCATGGTGCCAAAGCCTTTCTGTAGGAGACAGTGGGGAAGGCTGCTCTAGAGGGAAATGTTTTTAGGCAGTTCCTTGAGCTGCACAATTGCCAAAACTGGCCTGTTCCCTACCAGAGTAGGAGATTTGCAGCACATCCTCACTGCATCAGTGAGAAGGGAAGCCAGGCTCAGGATCAGCTGCACCAGTGGGTTCTTCATGATGCCAAAACACAAGATCTGATGGGGGAGATGACTCAGAGCACTGAGATCTGGGCTACGTGCTGGCCCTTGCTGCTTGTTCTGAGGGCAATGCAGCAGGTACCTCACTGCACCATGAAGTCCTCTACCTGCAGATTTGGGGAAGCCTCCTCCTTCTCCCAGTGCCTCTTGTCTAACCTGGGCTTCCCTCTCCCCCTCCACACTCATACATGCTCGTCAATACAGCTTGACATTACACCCAAGTACAGAAAAGAAATTAAGGGTATTGAAAATAGCATTTTCTAAAGTTTTTACTCATTAGGGAGGGAAAAGGAGGTACACAAACTCAATTCAACTGATCAGCTCATGTGAAGCAAAACTCTCTGAAATATAGGATAAATTGTTTTATTAAGTCACGACATAAGCTACATTAAACCAAGAAAAAAATTCCCAGATACCAGCATATCTCTTGTTAAACCCAGAAAAGGCAACGCAGAGACAGAATAAAAGCTTTATTCTTATCCTACCTCAGTAAAACAAAGGTATAAGAACACATCTCCTCTTTGCTCTGCTTGAAGTCAGACCACCCTGTGACAAGTTTGAGCCAGTGCTATATCTATGCCTTCAGTGGACCTTTGAAGATGTAGCAGAGTCTTTATTATTCCTGCAGGCTGCAAGGGCTATGCATAGTCAATCCACGTAATGAATCCACAGCATGAAACACATTCAAGTTAAAATAAATACTTTTGTAGTTCTCTCATACCAAAAACAAATGAAAACATCTCTCTACCAGAAACTGTATATTTGCTTTACTTTAAATCTCATGCAACAAACTAAAAAAGAAAAAAACAAACCCACAAAAACCAACCAAACTAAAACTAAGGACACAGTTTACTGTGGTCTAAATAACAACCTTTCCTGTTTATAAAATCAGAGCTTTTAAAATAGCTTAGAGCACAAATTAAGCCAGAACAGATTTTCAGACATTTAAAAGCCCTTTTTTTTTTCTACTGCAGAGATGTAAAAGCACTTCAAAAAGCTAAGAATTTGCAACAGTAAGGACCAGATAGGGATGAGCGTTATTAGGTCGCCTATTCTGTAACTTCTTGTCCCAGCTATTCTGCACCTGTAAGATGCAAACGCCCAACTTAAAAACACCTGATGACATAGGCTTATACACAAAATGCTGAAAGAGCCCATCTGTCCCATGCCAAGGAGAGCAAATACCAGCTCAAATCACACGTATGCTCACACCTCAGCACTGAGGGGCTTCAGAGTTTTCTAGGTGGCTGCTCAAGCAGGGGACGTCTGTGCCCTCAGTGCAAGGGTACAGCCCTAGAGAAGAGAGCCTGTCACCTTTACCCTGTCTCTATTCCAGCGTATCCCGCTGCTGCCACAGGCAATCGGGAGCAATGCTGGAGCCTCCCGTTTCAAGGACAAAGAGGCAGTACTCAGCTTGCAGTCAATACTTCAGAGCTGCGGGTCAGAGGAGGGAAAGAGCAAAATAAAGAGAAAACTTGCATTTTACTTAGCCAGCATCTGCTACGAAGATGATGAAAATTATGACTAGATATTAAGTGAAGGTCACGAGACTTATCTAAGACTACCGGGGGAGAAAAACAGATGGGGAAGGGGGAGGGAGAGGGAGAGAGAGGGAGAGAGCACGAGCACTGCAGCAAAGAAGCTGCGCTCTGCCAATATATGCTGGCACTTACCATAAAAATAGAAAGATCCAAAGAGAATCAGATTAAGGGTCCTTTTTATCTCTCTTCAGTAGAAAGGTTCCCACATGAAGCTCTGAACACAGCTGTCCAGGGGAAAAGCAAGGTAATGTGCTGATGCACAGAAAGCACAAGCACACGAACGGTAAGTCCTTTCACAGCCTTCGAAAACCTGCAAGCAGTTTGTGCCGGAAAACCAAAGGTAAGAAGTCTGGAAACGACTCCTACTTAACACTGCAGCTAAACCGGGCTGCTGGATTTCCAGTCACTCATAGCGCACTGTTTTCATCCTCATCTTCTCACCATGACTTACATTCTAGAGGTGGGCTTGGGGGTGGGGATAAGAGATTTCTCCTCCGAGTGGAACGGATCGCAGAAGCGGCATCAGCATTTGTAATCAGTCGCTGGGAGCACCCAATCAGAGGACCCGAGGGGTGGCAGCTGTCCGAGGCAGGGCAGCCCGACGCGACAGCTGCCGGCACGGTCCTGCCGCGCCCGGCATCACCGGGCTCCGGTGCCCGCAGCCCCGCGGGGGATTCTGCACCCACGGGCAAACCCAGCGCCTTCGGGCCCTGCGCCGGCTCCTCGGGCAGCAGCGCTCAGACAGGCACAGGCTCCTCTGGCTGGGCTCGGACAGGCGCCTTGCTGCCCCTCCGCAGTCCCACAGAGGCAAGAAAAGTTTGGAGGTTTGGGTATCAGCGTCATTTACATTGTAATTTTATGAGCCGGTAGCTTCCCTACATAAAATATACATTAATCGTTGCTTCCTCTTCAAAGGTATCTTTTTGAAGGAAAAAGAAGTCTGTAAGAGATTTTACGGCGTTGTCCCATTGTTGTGAATGGCCCTGTTAGAGCCAGTGCTGGTTTTGAAATGACATCACAGACCCCAGACCTCAGCATCAAACCCACAGAAAATACACGAGCAAAGTTCCTCTCCCTGCACCTGCCAAGATGACAACTGGATTAAATGTTTTGCTGCTTTCTACCATACTATTTGACACCAAAAAAAGATTTTAAAGGACCCCAGACCTCGACTTAATTTTCAATAATGATGTCCAGGATGTGGAGAGAAGTATTCCTATGGTATTTAAACCACTGAACCAAGTCAAAAGTAAGGTGATGCAGTCAGATTTAAAGCTGCTAAGCACTGTAATTTACAAGGGATGTTCCTGATTCTAAGTTACAAGTGGCTGCATTTGACAATGGGGGAGAAATTATTCTGATCCTGCTCACAATGCAGTCCGTAGTGGAGGAAACATAAATGCAGCATGGAAATTTGTGTTTACTTAAAGTTGACACTCTGCCAGTAGAAAAAGTTAGATGCTTACCTTTCCAAAACATTTTTAGAACAGTCAGTCTTGAATTTTTGCTGTATCACAAAGTAATCATGAATATCATACATCTGATATTCACATTTCAAAAGATGAAAAGGCCATGTAGTGCAAGGGGGGAGCATGGGGAAAACAGACATAAAAGCATTCCCAGCAGTGGTACCCATATTACTTGATCAGTATCAGGTACTTGGAGATCACACCAGGTAACAACATAAACCTATCAGGGAAAGAGGAGGCCTAACAACAACAACAACATTTAAAAAAATAATAGTAAATCACAGCTTCTACATTTTGAAGCACTGACTAAAAATCTAAAGGCCAATTTAATACAACTCATCTGTTCCAAAATGTTTGAAAGTGTAAATAGTGCAAGAACATACAAATTCCAGTAGTAACAACAACAGAACACTAGGCTGTCATCCCATATTGGTCAGAAGATATCACCTTTCTGTATGTTTTTTTCCTCTCTTTTGTTTTGGCTTGGTTTTAGGTTTTTTTAATACAATTTTTTTCCCTTCTGATGACAGGATATTGGAAAGCCCATTACTTTCTTACATTTTATTTAGGTTTTAATTAGCTGGCTTCATACTGTCAACAGTACATGCATGATATTTATTCCTCCCTTTTCATACACATAATTAGCCCAAAAAACATGAGATCTGCTCAAGAGGGAGTAGGCACAGGTGAAGGCAGATCAAAAGAGCAAATGACAAAGGAGGGCAATTACCATTTCCAATTAATGCACTAAGATATATACAGATAATAACACATACATAGGTAACCAAAATTAAAAACATAGCCAATATAGGGGCAAACATGAGAAAAGAAGGAAACAGCAGAAGAAAACATATTTAAACTCTGCATTAAGCTTTCAAAACAGACTGCAATGCTAACAGAAAGATTGCTACTTAACACCTGCGAGTGTTCCCAAGCCCAGATCCTGTGCTGGTATTGAGGAGGGTGATGAGAGCAACAACTTTCTGCTAACTTTATCTTGCCTGAAAGTGACTTAGGAAAATCAGCTCTTGGTACTGCTCAACTGGAACATCCTTCAACTTTCTGATTTTTCTATTTTTATTATGCATTAAATTGAAGTGCTTTCAGTTATCAGCTTTTTAACCTCTATATTGATCTATTGAGAATTGGCAAAAATCCCTGCTTAGTTGTCATATTGGTAAATGTAGATGTTTTCTGATCTTTTCCTCTGTCATATGGCTCCTTTGCAATTTTTCAGTACCTTTTTTTAGCTCAAGTAGGAATTTAAACAATTCTTTTAAAGTACTGTAAAACAAGTTATCTTTCTACTTATTCTAAAATAATTGGTGGTTTCTAATTAGAAACTATTGAGTATTAGAATGAAGTATTTCAGGTTATGATATCAGTTTTCCCTTTTAATACAGAACAGAAATATTTACTGAATATGTCTCCTTTTAACATTGTCATGGAAAATTCTGTTTTTCTACATCAGAGCTCTAACAGACCAACACATTTTGAGTAAAAAATCAATTCCTAATATACTGTTACTTCCAGTTATAAGAGAAAACTTATTTTCTACTGAATTAAACATGCATTAATATTGATGGCTGTCAATACAGCAATTTTTTTTGTACTTTATCCTTTTTATCTTACAGTTATGAAATTAATATTTTAAGAATTCATTATTCAAAATGTCATTTCCTTGGAAAACATAAAATGCTCTTAAATGGCTTCCAGACAACAAAAAATTCATCATTATAAAAAAGTGACTTCATTTCTCAAATCTCTTAGCCATGAAACAGGAATTATCAATGTCAATTCAAGTAGAAATTTTATCAATCTCTTTTTCAAGAAGTGGGTGGTCCAAAGCTTTTGCTTATGTTGCTGCTACATCATTTGAAATTGCATAAGGGAGGTTCTGAACAACACATGCATATGGAAAGGAAGCTAAAAAGTATGATGGACTTCAAGCAAAAGACGTTAGTTCAGCAAAAGCAAAATGACCATTAATAAAATTAAAAAAAAAAAAAATCCATACAGCTATTTCTGAAGTACTAAAAATATCGAGATAGAGGAAAAGAGAACAAGTAATCATCTAGAGACACTTTCATTTCTGCAGTCTAAGTTTCAATCTAATGCAGGTGGGAAGCAGTACAGAGCTGACAAGACTGCATGGAGAGAATGGCTGCTACTCACTGAGGCATCTTCATTCTGGTAAGAGAGCTTCAAAGACCATTGCTGCAACAATTTAAAAAGCAAACAACAAATAAGCTTTTCAATGATAAAGCCAAACCCCCTGGCAGAAAAGCTGTTCATAAGAAACCCCCTAAACCTCAAGAAACTCCCCCAAACCTATGTCTCTTAGCCATCCTTTAGCTGAAAAAACAGTAATGGCCCTGTCTGCATTCCAGAGACTTTATCTAAATGGAATTTATCTAAGGAATAGTAGCAAGATACTATTTAGGGATTGTTTCACTTATGGAGAATTTTCCTGGATGTTTTATATGAGAGAAATAGCTTTGTTGTGGTTATCCATGTACCCACAAGTGGCTTAGGTACCCACATTTGTCAAAAAAAAAACCAACAAAAAAAACAAAAACCCAAAAAGATCCACATCAAAACACCCCAAAATTCTACAATTTTGGAATGAAGAGACAGTGAGAATGTTCTCCCCACATTCTCTTCTCCTTCCTAAAGGGACAGTAAAATCAATACCAGACAGAGGTAGCTGAGGGACACAACTCATACCAAGAATACCATTACCAGTTCCAATATCTGCAATATCATTTGTCTCCAACTCAGGACCTCACAATAAGACTTTCCATAAATCAAGTAAGAAAATTATAGACAGGTAATATTTCTTAAAGCATAAAGAACAGGTTTTGTTAAAGCAACTTCAAGAGGGCTCTAACAAATCAATTGCTGTCTGAAGCCTAAGCTTGTAGGTATAAGCTGTTAACATACATAGGCCAAGAAATGGTAGTTTTGATTTAAAGTTATTCTTCAAAAAAGGGGAAAATATTAAATATTCAATGATAATATATTTTAAAACTTTAAAAAAATCAGTTATGCTACCTCTACATAACTCCATATTAACTATATTTTGTACCATGCACCCTAACAAGAAACGAATGTCATAACATATGAAGCAGTTAAAGCACTCTTAACAGATTGCAATTTAATGGTACAGAATATTCCATTTATTTCTAGCTATTCCCTTAATTAAGTAAATGAAATTCATAACAGCAAAACAAGTTTTATGATAGCCCAAAGAAAACTACCATTATGAATGATTTTAAGCACTGAACTACCAGCAGTAGAAGATAGTGAGATAAAGTTGGTGAAAATTCAGAAATAACAACAAGCCTTTAACAAAGCAAGTAAAAGAAGTCTTTATATCTATATATATATATATATATATATATAGATATATGTTCTTCATATATGCATCACACAGATCCCTTTCAGGCTGTAGACTAGAGAGGAGTTGGTAGGACTTTTCTAATCTGCAAGGAGACAGGCAGGTCACATCAGGTCACACAGGATGGAGAGGCTGCAATGCTGAGGTCCTGAGAGGAATAAGGGGAAAGCTGACATCTAGAAAGCAGGGGGCCACCTTGCAGGAGCAGACAGGCCCCCAGACACTTAAAAGGGCTTTCCAGCCCTCTCTTAAAGCAGGTGTCTTAAAGCTGTGTCAGACCTTTAGTCAAATTGCAGATGACCATATACTAATCCTTCAACTTCTTGGAAGTAAAACATGACCTGAAGTTAGTGCTGAAGCAGAGAGGAAGGACCCAGCACAGGTAAGTGATCAGAGCAGCCCCAACAGAGCATCCCCTGCTAATTTTTGCCCTGTATCCAGGCGTACTGATGGTTCAGTGATTCTGTTTCATAGCTGCATCCAGACCTACTTCTAGCACAATTTGTAAACTAGATGGTGAGAGGATTTGCAAACAAAACATTAAGAATGCAGCACAGGGGTATGGGGGAAAACATTAGATGGCATGAATAGGCCTCTGAGATTAGAAGGGCCTTTAGGGTCAGACACCCTGACATGATGCATGCACATGTGACAAACATTTGAGAGCTTGCAATAGTAGAGACTGTTAAACACTTGGCATGTTCACTGCTGACCTGTTAGAGGTTTAAATAAATAATACTTTAAATAAAACATAATAATTAAAAATGCATGATATTTGTGAAGAGACAAAGTGCTTTATTAACTTCTGATTTGAAGTTTACCGTACCTTTATTAACAAGTAGGAATGAATCTCTTTTGAAACAATAAAAATCTGAACTGATCTAAGCTGTTCCTGATATAGGAACTGGACAAGATTATTTCAAGATGCCGAAATTACTCTACAACTCTAAAACACCCCACCAAACTTCAAGAACAGTCAGCCAAGCAAATCTCTCAAATAGAAACAAACAGCAGCAAAACTGTTAGTGATAACCACTAAATAATAATAATATCCACTGGTGAATAGATACACACATATGCACATCATAATGAAAGAGCCGAATTCCTTCAACAGGTGTTTCAGGCAGAGCCAAGAAAAGAAGTGATTTCTGTACTGGGTTCTTTTTCTCAGCAAGGACCTACATAAAAGATCTCACACTGAGAAGTTTCAAAAGTTGGCTGATCAGGCTCTGAAAGTGACTCCATGTGATGCTGACCTTTTAAATGCCACCACACCTACCAAGGCTGGGCTGAGCTCCCCATATCTTAGTCTCCTTTATTGAAGTTTAAAGGAGTTTTTCTTCTATAGAAATATTTTAAGTGCATCTTAGAAATAGTAATGGGATTATTAAGTGTTCTTGCAGAAAGTGAAGTTATTTTTAAAATGAACTTACTATCTAATTAGGTGGTTCAGTATTTCAGCTCATTCAGAAGCACAGACCATTTTCAGGCATCCAACCATTAAAATTTTAGGTATGAAACAAAAATAAAATAACCACAAAATTGATTATTTATTTGGGCTTTCCAGGTTTTCATGGATTCTTAATATAAGAAAAAGAAATTCTAAAAATGTAACCATTAGTAATTGTTTTGGATCTCTACAATACCAAAAGCAAGAGAAATGAAAATAGAAATCCTCAAGTAGTGCGTATAACTGAAACTATACTTGTAAATGCATCTCTTCAGGACACATTCATAAATGCTGCCAGGCACAGTCAACAGTAATTCAAAACAACCTTTTAATAACAGCTTGTGTCCCCCTGTAAAATGCCTTATTAAAGGAGCTCAAAAGAACTGGGCTCCCACCAAGAAATAAATCTCACCACACGGCATTTAGGACCTAATGAAATCAACAAAATGCAATGAAATTAGTACCTGCATGTGACAAACTCAGTATTTTGTGTGTATTTACTGATTACTATCCCTGTATCCTAAGGTGATACATAAAACCTGAACTAAAATACACAATATTTTTAGACTGCTGTTGATTCTCCAGTGTAGAAAGAGCCTAAAAATGTCAGCACACCAGTTTCTTCAGCTTGCCAGGTAAACTGAAGAGTGAGTTATAGTGAGGACAAGAAGACAAAGGTTTTGTGCAATGTTTTTACAGATTCTTCTGGCTTAGTTAAGTGAAGAATCTTTATGGGACAGTGTGAGCTATTTTGACTGAAGCAGACAGAAATGCTTTATTTAGTTCTTGCCTTATGAAACCCTTGTATTGATTTCCTCCCTTCCCTGTCAATTTAGATGTGTTTCCTTTTTTTAATGTGAAAAAAAAAACTGAAAAAAATTGAATTTCAAATTTTTTTTCAAAATGTCAAAGTATATTTTTGTATGAGACTAGTGTTGTCTCTGTAGTGTAGCACTGCACCCTGCCATCCAACTTCAAAACTTATAATGGAAGCTCAGTGGGAAATTGGTAACCTCAGTTCACCTAGAAGTCAAAGGTGCAGTACAATAGCTCCAACACATAACCACAGATCTGCTGCTTAGACAGGACTAGTCTAGCAAGTTTTGAGAGAGCTGTAACCTGTCTGAATTTTAATCTAGGGCGAAAAAAGAACAAAAAATACTAAATGGAAGTTTCCCAAAAAGTTTCCCAAGTGGAACACCCCAGTATGAAATATGAGAAGCAAAAAGGCACTGATATTGCAACAGCTCTGCTTGAATAAGACCATTCACTAGATTTGATCTGTATACACTGTTTTAGTTCCCATTTCTCCTCTGCATACACACACACATCCAAATCCCTTCTAGTGGAGCACTTATAATTTACTATTTTATGACTATTTCCAGTGTAACTGCTGTTATATTTAATTTAAAAATATTTCACCTAATCAGGAGTGCTTTCTCTTTTGTAGTGAAGAAAAGGAAGGGGTGCTTGCTGGCAAAATGGAAGACACCTACACATTGATGTGCCAGCCCTGGAAGACCGAAAAAAGCACCAAGTCCTACACAGTTCAACAGAAAGATTAATGAAGAAAATCCACGTGTAAGCCAACAAAGCTGTTCCTGTAAGGGCCTACAATGAATCTATATCGATATCTGGAGCTAAAGTTGCTTTAGGTCTTAAGCAAGAGTTGCCTGACATCCCCATAAATCATATGCAAGGAAAGAAGATTCAAGGACTTGAATATCCCTGGTGGAAAAAGCTGTTGTGTTGCTTAGAGATTTGATAACTGCTGCTATGACATGGAAGTACAACTGGATGGAAAGATTGCTGACTTAGGTGCTGATTACTCTGCTGTTAAAGCATCATGCAAGCAGCAGTGTCCAGCTGGCACTAATGATACTTCACAACTCTCCATCTGCAGCTCCCCATGCACGCTGTGGGGGGAATGTCCTGTGCAAAGTACAAGAGATAATTAGGAACAGAGGCTAGAAACAAACCAAACAAACACTACCTGCTTATTGTGGTACACTCTCAGCCTCCCCAGTACTACCAAAGAATGATGAATGACCAGTGCACACATGGAAATATTGACTTCCATTTATTATTATGTTTTTTCAAATTAAATATTATTATAATATTTAATTTTATTAAATATAACAATAATATTTAATTATATATATTTAGATAATATATAATATTATTATATAATATAATTATATTATTATAATTTATAATAAATATTTATATTTAATTATATATTATATAATTGTATAAATATTCTTTAATTATAAATAATAATATTATTAATTTATATATTTATTTCAAATATTACTATTTGAAGACCTTTCTGAAAGCAGGAGTAGGTTTTGTGTGCAGCCATGCTCTGCTTCTCTTTTCCTGTCATCACCTGAGAAAGGCTCTTTAAAATCAAAAAATTCTCCATATTGACTTTTTGACATGCTCCACTCTTCCTAGAGCCACAGATTCAGAGCAGCAATTTTCAAATGTTGCTTTGTTTCCCCCTCATTTTTATATATAGGAGCTGGGATTTGAGTGCTACTGTGGCCCTGAAAGAAGTGATGGTTTGGTTATTCAGATTAATCACCATTTCCACACTAAACAAAGACCATCAGGAAGAAAGTGACTTAAGAAAATATGATCACCACAAGTAGCTGTAGAGCAAGAGGTAATGACAAGCCAGAAAAGAGATCATTTTTCACCTACGCATATGGAACACCAAATGAGACTGATCAATTGGTTCAAATAATCTATGACATGCAGAAAATAAAGCAAACAAATGATGAATATCAACTTTTGCTATAAAGCTCTTTTTTTCTCTCCTTTCACCTTCCTTCCTCACATTTCTGTCACTTTGTTGCCTGGGGCCCGGAAAGGAAGATTTTGTTAAATTTCCATAATGCAGCAGAACCATTAGTCTCATAGCCACAGACTAAGAAAAAAAATTGTTAAGTTTACAAGAAATAAAACTCATTGTACAGTTAAAGTCAGAAAAACAACTTACATTTATGATTTCATATGTCCCCAGGACAATGTGGGGGTCAGGCTGTCGTGATTGCTGCCACTAAAGCATGCACTGCCAGAAAGTGAGATGAGTTTTGCTCCCCTGTATCTTCCTATTTACCCTTGGTTTCCCTTTGGAGAGCTAGATCAGGTGATAAATTCCTGACTAGATGAAACACCTCAGTTTTCTTGTCCCAGCAGGGATCTGAGCAAAGCAATGACAGAACAACCTGCCACCACCAAGTCAGGTTGGTGAGGAAGGTGACTGGGAGACCACCCCATGAGCACCATGGGCAGAGCCCAGTGTCCATGCTCTGCTCTTTGGCTGAGCTGAGCTTTCTGCCCCCTGCATGTGCCTGCAGCAAACAGTGGGCTCCTGTCTGGGCACGTGGGGAGTGAGCTGAAGGACACTGGCATGGGTCAGCCTGCAGCTTTCATCACAGCAGGGCCAGGCTCAGCTCACCTCAAAAAGTGCTGCTGCTCCTTCTCCTGCACAGTCCCTCCTGCCACGCCTGCCCCCGTGGTGGCTCTGCCTCTGCTGAGGCAGCAGCACATTCCCAAAGGGCAAACCACAAACCCCACTGATGAGATCCTAGTGGCTGTGCCAGAACAGCACAAGTGAATCCTCAGTGCAAAAATCAAACCCTCTCAACAGACCAGCATGGAAGCAAAGCAATTACAGCTTCCACACCACCCTTTTCAAACACAACATGAGGCACCCAAGAAACAATTGAGCTGGTTTTCCACAACCTCTGTGAGGTGTGAGGACACACTAATCTCTGCCAGACAGGAAGATTTCTCCCTGTAACTTGGCCTCTCGTGATCCCAGGCCTTAAACTGTCCTTGTAGTTTGGCAGAAGGTGTCCTTTTTACTTCCCAAGTGCCTGCCTGTACATACTGACTGTAATTGGAGGAGTAATGTACATTAAGCTTGCCAGCTTCATTGGGATTCATTTTTAATAATAAGATTGAAAAGGTGAAAGCAGTACAATTTTATTCTGTCAGAGCCAAAAGCTGGTTTCTGATGACAAAGTTGCAGAGGAGAACAAAAGAACCAAACCCTATTTTATAAGATGACAGAACCTTCCCTGAGCTATCACTTGAAACTCCTGAAGCACCTTTTTTGCTGTAGGGGAAAGAAATAGGACAGCTGCATTCCCCCAGAGCTGAGCCCTGTGGGCATTCCAGGGGCTGCTGGATCAACCACTTTCCTCCTGCCCAAGCAGAGCCTCCCAGCTCCCATATCCACATTTATTGGCAGCTTCCTGACCTTCTGTTGTTGCTCTCATCTGCTTTTTAACTAGCAGCAAAGCCACTCCTGGCTTATTTTTCCTTAACAGTGGAGCTGCTGCCATTTCCCAAGTTTTCTCCCCAGATTCTAGAATATCAAAGTGCAGGATTGAGGTCCCTCTTGGCCCTCCAGGCCTCTGATCACAGAGTGCCATCATGCTCTCTAATACATTTCTACAAGCTTAGGTAACTTTTGAGGTATTTTCAGTCCCCTCAGGACCATCTCACTTTTTGATAAATAACAAACCATCTGGAAATATTTGTTGCATGCTTACCTTACAAATATTTCCATTTTCAGTCTGCTTTCAGCTCTCCACTGGCATCAACCACATTGCAGAAAAAAATATATAGGAGACAGATCTGGCCTGTAAAAGAAGTCTTCCAGCTGTCCCTTTGACTCCCAATTCAGAGAACTTTGTACTCATAGTAGAAACTAACTTCCTCAGCACACCTACCTTCACACACAATGGAGTCAACCACAGAGCTTCTCACAGCTGAAAATTGTTATAAAATGAAGAGGGAAAAACCTTCTGAAGCTTCAGAGTGGATGTCAGTTATCAGAAGACTTGAAGATTTTCAAGCACACGTGTTTCTGCAGCAACATTGCAGAATGTCAACGTTTCCCAAGAATAAATCCACGAGACTGTTAAGTACAACCTCTTGGCAAAAAGTTATGGAATTCATAAAAGGACTTTGTTTCTATTTCAATGCAGACTAAATTAAGTCATTACTTAGCTGCCAAAGAAATTTTTATAAAGAAAACCTCCCAGAAGACTTCAAGTGGCAAGTTTCCTTACAACAAGCAAAGGTGCACTCTGAGGTCACCTGCAAAGACAGCCAAATCCTGTCACCAGAGTGGCATCAACCACCCTGAGCATTTGAGACTTAAATGATCAAAACACTTGAATGTCAAACCAAAAGCTCAGGAAAGAACCACTAAAGTAAAAAGATTGCTTGCATGCTAAAAAGTACACATTAGCTTAAATATTTTGCTAGGTCATCCATCATGGTCCCAGCAGTATTTATGATTAATTAGCTTATTCCTCTTGGAAAATGAAAGGCCTTTACAGAGGACTGACTGGAAGGTCTAGACCTTAAAAATACACCTATGTTTTAATTCAGTTACAAAAGTAAAACCAACTATTTAAATAACTTAAAGTAATGTAAATGTGAATAATCAGATATTAGTATTTTCAGAGTGGTTTACTAACACATTTACACTGATTAACTACACATTACACTGATTTACTTTTTCCAGAAGTGCTCTGCATAAAGATATATTAATATAGAAAATTAGCCCAGCTTATTAAATTAATATATTTGTCACCACCATAGAAAATCCTAGATTTAAGGAGGAGCTTTTTTACCTTGTATAAGCAAGGAACAGATTGAAAGAAATGTATGAATTTAACACAAAAATCAGTGTCTTTTATGCAACAAAACAAATACTTTTGAAAAACAAACTGCTGCATATGGAGCTGGAGGGACTTTGTCATTTTTGAAAGACAGCCATGCACAGGATCTGCAGAGTCAAATATTTATTTGTCGTATAAATGTTGAAACAAGAATAATCACATTTTTAAATGAAATACCAAAATAGCAAAACTGCAACTAATCATGTATGCAAACCATTTCTAGACACTGACATGCTTGAAGTGTTTTGCATTGCTAGGTTGCTTCAAATTCTAAATCAATGTAAAACAATATTAAGAAAAAATACTTCTACTAAAACCTTCAAGTCTATGTCAAGTCTCCTTAGATGCCAAAGAAAATTTTAAACAGTATGCCTGAAAGAAAAAATGAGGCCTTTGTTCTCTGAGCCAAACTCTCCTCTGTATATGCTATATTTTGAAGAATTGGGAAACAAGGTTCTATAGTCTTCCACTAAGAAGAGGTTCTATCAATAAAGATAAAAATGTGTCTGATTACTCTTGAGATAGAGGTCATAGGGGCAAGATATTTTACAGAACCTCAACAGACCATGGCAACTTCAAAAGAGTAACTTGGCAAATCTTGGAGTACTTTCCACAGCTAAAGAAGGAAGATGAGACTTTGAAAGTCCACAAGATATCATGAATGTAGATGCAGTTCTGATCCGAAATATTATTACCTGACCAGGAAATAATACACTAAAAAACATCATATTAAATTAAAAGTAGTAAAGCATAGTATTAAAACTATAGTATAAATAGTTAAGATATAAATTAAATAAACTTTGGTAAAGGAAGAATAGTTTACAATAAAAATTCCTTATTTAAAGAAAAATATATTATCAGTCCCATTTATGTGTATGAAAATTTAGATTTAATTTTTTTTCACAGTGGGTTTTACTATTATTTTAGTATTCAGTTAAGTTGCTCAAAATAAGAATGAACAGTGTGTTCATGATGCAAGAACATTATCACTTACTTGTGAGTCCTAGGACAATATAACAACTGCATCTGAAAAGATGCACAGAAACTACATCAGTCCTGGATCAGTTCTCCTATATACACAAACCCATTAAAATGAGAATTTCCCACTCCTATGAAGATGACCTTACATGATGTTATTCTGAATTATCTCAGAAGCTGTTTTACTGAAGCTTACATCAGTCAATCCCAAGATTTTTGTGTAAAACCATTTTAATTCAGTCATTACAGGTTCTGTTTTTGCTTTCAGATATTCACCGCCTGATTCATATATCTGAGCTCAACTGAAAGAAATCAATAATATTTTTAATAAAAGCTTTTAACATAGCACAAAATTCAGGGTTGCTAAGTTATACAAGACAGTGTTTCTGAACTAAGCCCACAGTGTGCATGAATAACTTCACTGAGATCATGAGACTGGATGTTTATGAATTTAGGGGCATTATTTCTGCAAATGTCCAGTTTCAGGCACTGCCTTATTCACAGAGTTTTGGACATATTCTTTGAAGCAATTGGCCTTTAAGTTTGATGCATGTCCAAAGAGTTGTTAAGCCTTGAATTCCTTCACCATCACTTCCATTTGCATGTTCTAGCCTCACATAAAAACCTTGTTTCAGCAAAATAGATTCCTATTTTGCTGAAATAAGAACTTTTCTGTACTTTAAAAGCAAATATCTTATTTTACAGCTTCTTCCTTTCTATCTTCTAAAAAGTAAACTGTGGAGAAGAAGAGGATGTGTAAGAATTTTAAAGAAATGTAGATTTTTGTTGTAATCAGAACTCAGTACAAAGTATTACCAGATATACAACCTCTTCATCAAAAGCCTGGTTTCCACGGTGACCAGCACATCATCTGCTGGTTTGTTTAATTTTTAAAAAAACTTGCTTTTTAATGTCACCCATTCCCTAAATTAGGATAGAAAATAAGCTTAGAGAAATGTGATTTTTTTTTCCCCTACAGTATCTAAACCAAACTGAGGACTTAGATGCCCACACAGTATCAGCATAATGCATCATTCTTTTTATCTAAAGCTTGCTCATCCAACACAGTTACTAGTAGCTACTCTACTCTGACAAAAACGTTC